GCCGTTGCCCTTGAAACACTTTCTTCCCCGGCCAGGAACCTCCTGTACTTGCTTCCTCCCACGTGGGCCCTCCCTGTTCTCCTTTCTTGCTTTTCCTCCCCACCCTGACCTCTGCTCCTGGCACATCTAGGGCTCTTCTCTCTCTACACTTATCCTTGGGGATCTCATCCAGATGCCTGGTTTTGAAAATCATCACATTTTGTTGGCTCCTAAGGGTGTGTTTCTAGTCTCCACCGCCGGTTGCATCCAAGCCACTTGATGCTACACTGTACTTAGGATGCTACAGGATAGCTCACAGGCATCCAACACGTCCAAAACCGAGGTCCTAGTTTCCCTTCCAAAGCTGCCCTTTTAGACTCCTCCCACTTCATTAAATGACAGCTCCAGTCTTCAAGTTGCTCAGGCCACAGCTTTGGAGTTGGCCGGGTGCTGTGGCTCACGCCCGTAATCCCAGCACTTTGGGAGGCCGAGGCAGGTGGATCACGAGGTCAAGATACCGAGACCATCCTGGCCAACATGGCGAAACCTCGTTTCTACCAAAAATACGAATATTAGCTGCGTATGATGGTGTGCACCTGTAGTCCCAGCTACTCGGGAGGCTGAGGCAGGAGAATCACTTGAACCCTGCAGGCAGAGGTTGTGGTAAGCCGAGATTGCTCTACTGCACTCCAGCCTGGAGAAAGAGTGAGACTCCATCTCAAAGAAAAAAAAAAAAAGAAAGAAAAACAAACTTTGGAGTTACCCTTGAATCCTTTCTTTTTCTAAAGGCCCACAATTAATCAGCCAATTGTGTCAACTTCACCTTCAAAATCTATCTGGAGTCTGAGCACTTGTCCCCACCTCCACTGGACTTCCCTGCTGCCACATGTCCTTTCCCCTAGGTGATTGCAGCAGCCTCCCAACCTGCCCTCTGCTTCTACCCCGGCCTCCCCTGGTCCGTACTTCATGCAGAAGACAGACCGGTTCCTTTACAATGCAAAGAGCAGTCCTCTGCTCCAACCTCCGTCAGCTTCCCATCTCCCAGAGAGATCCGAGGAGTCCCCTCAGGAATAGCTCTGGACATGCCCCCAGTGTAGCCCCTTGGATCTGCCCCTCTCTTTCTGTACTCTGTTCGGGGCCACCTTGCTGTGGCTGAACAAGCCAGCCGTGCTCCTGCATCTCAGCATTTGTGCTGGCGGTTTCCTTTGCCTGGAATGCTCTGCTCGGAGATACTGGCACAGTCACTGTCTCCCTCTTAGCCAATCTCAGCTCAAATTTGCCCTCTTCAGTGAGTCCCCTCTTCCATCTAAAGTAGCAGCCGCCTCTTACACTCACATGAGGCTATCATGAAGCTGTTTTCCTCCCAACACTCAGTGTTATCTGAAATAATCTTATTTATTTCTTTGTGTATTGCTCATCCTATCCACCAGAATGGAAGCTTTATGGCGGCACAAACTGTCCCAGCAGCTAGCACAGAGCCTACCTCATGGCGGTCAGGACTGCCACAGAAGGTTGTAAAGGTTGTTCACTGCATTAGAGCTTCCGGCCGAGGAGCTGCGGGTACTGATACCCAGTCTGCCCTCTGTTCCCACGATGTGGGGCCATCCAGCAGGTTGGCATCTGCCATTTTGCAATGTGTGACATGTGGGCTGGCTGTGACTCTGGTGGCCATTCAAAAAATATTTAATGAATAAACTCCTGAATGATGGACGTGCAGACCCTCTGTTTGTTTTCCTCTGCAGGGCTTCATGCCAGTTAACCTTCTCACAGCCTCGTCTTCCTTTGCTGTTAAAGGGACAGTTAACATCTATCTCATAGCATGGTTACAAGGATGAAGTGAAATCGTTCATTAAAAAGCTGGCACAAATATGATTCCATTTATATGAAATATCCAGAACAGGCAAATCCATAGACTGAAAACAAATTAATGGTCGAAAGGGACACGGAGAATATACTGCTTAATTGGTCAGGAGTATCCCTTTGGGGTGATGAAAACGTTTTAGAATTAGAGTGATGGTTGCATGACATTATGAATGTACTAAACACTACTGAATCGTGTACCTGAAAATGGCTAACATGGGGAATTTTATGGACTGTGAATTAGGTTATGGAATATGAACACCTCAATTTAACAAAACCTGGCACAGTGTCTAGGACAAGGTAGGTTTTTAATATCAGTGGAATTTCATGATTTCCTTGCTTCAAAAATAAAGTAAAACCCTAAGCCCTCCTTGGTGCCTCATTGCCTCATCCAGGATAATCCTCCTTTTCCTCAAATTCATTTCAGAAGTGTGTATTGTTGCCATTTTAGATATGAGGATATGATGGAAATAAGACAGATGCAGAGCCCTCCCCCAGAGTTTACAGGCTGGCAGGGGAAACTAAAGAGAAAATCACATTCCTATGTGTTCAGGGATACAGGGGAGAAAGGCCACATCTGCAGGGGCACAGGGGAGAGTTGCGAAGGCAGGAGTCCCAGGAAAAGGGAGCAGAGCCTGCAGAGCCAGGGAGATGAGGGAGCATGGTGGGTTCTGGGAATAGAAAATAGTTTGGTGTCCAGGCATGGTGGCTCATGCCTGTAATCCCAGCACTTTGGGAGGCTGAGGTGGGCAGATCACTTGAGGTCAAGAGTTTGAGACCAGCCTGGTCAACATGGCGAAAACCCGTCTCTACTAAAAATACGAAAATAGCTGGTCATGTTGGTACGTGCCTGTAATCCCAAGCTTGAACCCGGGAGGCAGAGGTGGCAGTGAGCTGAGATCGCGCCACTGCATTCCAGTCTGGGTGACAGAGCGACTCTGTCTCAAAAAAAAAAAAAAAAAAAAAAAGGAAAAAAAAGAAAATAGTTTGGTGTAGCTGCCACAGAGGAGGCAGGAAAGGTGGGAAGGGATGGCCCTGAGCGTTCAGATTTCATCCTAAGATCTTCAAGGCCAAGCGTGAACTGGCCCCCACCTTCCAGCCACAGTCCTACCATGCCTTGTTTGCAACCCCACTCTGTAGCCCCCGCTTTATTTTTTTGAGACAGGGTCTTCCTCTGTTGCCCAGGCTGAAGTGTAGTGGCACAATCATGGTTCACTGCAGCCTAAAAGTCCTGGGTTCAGGCAATCCTCCCACCTCAGCTCACCCAGTAACTAGGAGTACAGGTGAGCATTACCACACCCAGCTAATTTTTGTGTTTCTAGTAGAGATGGGGTTTCCCTATATTGCCCAGGCTGGTCTCTGACTCATGGGCTCAAGCAATCGACCCGCTCCGACCTCCCAAAGTGCTGGGATTACAGGCATGAGCCACCATGCCTGGCCTCTCTGCAGCCCTTGCTCCCACAGTGCCCTTTCTGTCCTTGTGAATTCAGGGCCTCCAGACCTTGGCGCATGCTGTCCTTCCTCCCTTAGGTAGTTACGGGGAGGCTGCCCTGGGTTAGTACTGTGCCGGGAGCCCACAGGCTGCCCAAGCCTGCCCCTCTGACCCCGGGAGAGCGAAGAATCACAAGATAATGAGAAATGCTGCGATAGTGGGTGATCTGGGCGTGGAGAGTGGGGGCTTGCAGGGTAGAGGGAGGGCTCAGGGAAGGTAACTCCTGAACTGGAACTCAAAGAACAAAGGGGACCAGGCCCAGAGACGAGGAGTAGGGCAAAAGGGAATCAGAGAGCAACCGGGAGAGGTTCAGAGCCTGGCTGGTGGGGTCACAGGATCCTGAGATCCAGGTGAAGGCTGAGCCCCCATCCAGATCCACCCCTCACTCCCTACACACTTACACATTTGACAGGCAAGTTTGGAGTGTTCTTGGACTTTCTAGCTTTGCCTGGGACGAATGCTGTCCCCACCCGCCCTGGTTCCAGCCCACCACCCTTACAGGCCTGCAAAGCTCCCTCCTCAACTCTGGACTTTGTACCAGCCACCGGAAGTTCACTTGTTTATCAGCCTGAGCACCTGCCTGCTGAGGTGTCTGCCCCTCTAGGGCCCGCTGGACCCTTCTCTGGGTCCCAGCTGTACAAACCCCCAGTGTTACGGGGGGAGAGTGAGGCGTATACCCATAAAGTTCTTGGCAAAAGCTTGGGGAGATGTAAAATGAACCCTCCCCACTGGAGGCGCTGCCTGTAGCCCGCCCTCTGCCCGACCTGCAGCCGCAGCCCCGCCCTCGCTGCTTCTGCAGGTGAGTCGTTTGCCCTTGGCCCGCCCACCTGTCCAGGTTCTGCCGGCCCCAGCCGGAAGCTTATTCCGTGGACTGTGCACAGTTCTTGAAGGTGGGAACCGAGGAGAAGGCCCGGGGGGCTGGGGAGGGGGTACCCAGGCCCTGCACAGATCCCCAGGGGCTCCTGGCAGCAGGAAAGAAGCTACACAACAGAGTGGGGGTAGGTGTCTGTGCATATCAGAGGGTGTGTTTACTGGTGGAGGAAAGTGTGACCTTGGGGGAGGGGTTGTGTGTGTGTGTGTGTGTGATGGGCAGGTCAGTGTGGGCTGTGAGTTCAGAGGCCTGTTGTACAGTGTCTATGTGCCCTTGGAAAGTTAGTGTGTGCGCGTCTTCTTGGGAATTCACAGGGACAGGATAGGGAGGAAAGGAATAGGAGTACAACCTTAGAAACGTCAGATTGAATTCAGTTAATCCCAGTATAGCACGTTCTCACGTTTTTCAGACCAAGTGCTAGGATGAGGTCCACCGCAGGCTGAGGAATGAATGAGCAGCTGACCTCTCCTTCCCAGGACATCTCTTCCGCTCCCCTCATCGATTTCACAAGCACTGCACTGAGCGGCTGAGTTGCCCAGCTCCCTGCAGCACCAGCCCGGGTACAGATCCCTCAGCCAGCCCTTGCCCCTCAACCCCCAGGGAGCTGCCCACCTAGCAATGACTGGTTCTGACTGGTGGTTGACTGGGCAGGATGGTGACAGGTCACCCAGGGTAGATTCAGGGACAACCTCACAGGCACGTATGGTCTGATTTGGCCTTGACAAACGGGCCCCCAAAGCTGAGGAGGGCGTGGCCAGGGAGCAGGAGGGTGGGTGAATGGGAGGGGGGCCTGTGTGTATCTGTCTGAAGTGCTGGGGAGGGAACTGGGGAGAAGAGGAGGAAGAAGAGTTTGGCTTGAGGGCTGCGTGCTGGATGGCAAGGCACCGTGGGGCACAGGAAGCTTTTGAAGGGATTTTAAGCAGGCTAGTGATGGGGTCAGATTTGGGTTGTAGGCCCATCACCCTGGGGAAGAGACCAGAGGTGGGGAGACCAGTTAGGAGATTATGGCCAGGGTACAAGAGGAAGATGGCTTGGACTCAGCTGTGGCAGTGGGGTGGAGAGGAGGTTACTGTCATTCCAGAAATGCTTAGAGGAAGAGCTGATGGGGCTTGATGCCAGGTTGGGCGTGAGGAGGTAGGGGGGCATTTTGAAGGCACTTGTATCAAAGAATATACCAGGGTACTCCCCTCAACTTCTCTCCTAAGTATTTCCCTAGCCTGGCTACTCTGCCTCCAAGGCCTCCCTGGTTCAGGGGCTCCACCTGCAGACACTCTCCAGCCCTAGTCTCCAGCCCTAGCGTTCCTCCTCCAGGTACTTCTCTAACTTTCATGCTCCTCCTCTAGATACTCCCCAGATTCAGGTGCTCCTCCTCCAGGTTTTCCAAGCCTAGATGACCTTCCTCCAGCTAAACCCTTAATTCAGGTGTTCCTCCTCGAGGTGCCCCAGCCCTGGGCGATAATTTCCTGATTCAGGTGATCCTCATTTGGATACTCCCTGGTTTAAGCCTCCCTCTGGGGGCAGAGTATGGGCCTCCTGTGAGTAGAGGTTAATGGACAGGGGTTTGCTTGAAGGGCTGAAGGTAGAGGTGGGCAGCAGTGGCTTTCAACTTAGAGGGAGAGGGCCAGGGCTGCTCTGGCTGTGTCCAGGGCCCTTGTCCTTGGTAGGGACTTGCATCATCCTCCCCATGTGTGGTCTCCGCTTTGGCTGGGTAGCTCCAAGCAACTACTGTTTTCTGACCTTTGGGAGCCAGGACCCACCTCTGCCCCGTCTCTCCTCCTCAGCTTACCAAGCTGTGCAACAGACTGGGCTCTGGGTTCAAACCTGGACGCTCTGGTTGAGTCAGTTCACCTTTCTTAGCTTCAGAGCCCTCATCTACAAAGTGGGGATAATGTATATACCCATCTTACTGGGTGTCGTGAGCGTGATGCCTGGTGCCCGAATTGTAAGGAATGCTCAGTAAGTTCTACAATTAATTTTTTTTAGCAGCTTCTAGAGCCAAACCCTGTGATGGTCCCTTATAAATAGCCAGTTTCTGTAGGCTCAGCTTGTTTCTCTTCCGTGGACAGCTGTTGTGGTCAGGTGTCCAGGCCTCGGAGTTTGTGCAGTGCCACCATGGCTGTATGACCTGGAAGGTGCACCCTGTGACTGTCCCTGACACCCAGACCTATGTTATTTTCCAGGACTTGTGCCCTGGGGTTTCCTGGCTTCTCGGGGCCTCCTCAGACCCAGGGCTTTTTCTGGCGGAGGCTGAGACTCACTGGTGTCATCAGGCCCCTCCATGAATGAGACAAACAAAAGTGAGTGACAGTGGGAGGATAATGGGAGTGGGGGGGTTCCCCTTAGCTGCTGGGGTTGGGGGAAGGACCCTACCTGCACTCCTCTTGGTTTCTCCAGGGAGCCCCCTCTGGGGCCCACCTATAATGCTGTCCCTTTCTCTGCAGCACGTGTGGGGCCCTCGGAGCTCCCCACAGCATCCGCTGTGGCCCCTGGCCCAGGCACTGGGGCTCTAGCATGGCCTGTGCTGGTAGGGGTTGTGCTGGGGGCTGTGGTCCTCTCTCTCCTCATTGCACTTGCTGCCAAATGCCACCTCTGCCGCCGATACCATGCCAGCTACCGGCACCGCCCACTGCCCGAGACAGGAAGGAGGGTCTGCCCACAGGTGGCCGAAGATGAGGATGATGATGGCTTCATCGAGGACAATTACATTCAGCCTGGGACTGGAGAGCTGGGGACAGAAAGTAGTAGGGACCCCTTCTCCCTCTGAGTTCTGGTGTTTGGCCACTCCCTGCTACCTCCATGCCCAACAGCTTAAGGACTGGTTATGACATCGGAGTCTTGAACCTCAGGGACAGAGGTGGCTGGGGCTTAAAGGTTGGCCAGGGATGGAGCAATCCCCACTTCCCTGACACTAGCCACCAAAGTGACAATGAACCCTCTCTTGCTCAATGACTCTCAATGGCTCCCTGCTGTTCTCAGGACAAAGCCAAACAAAGGCTTGAGTGTGGACTTAAGGCCCTCTGTGATCAGGCCAGAGGGCCTCTTGGTTTCTTTTCTTGCCTTCCCCTACTTTACTCGTAGAATAGATGTTATTCTCCCTCCTATCACTGCCCATGCAGTTTCCCCAGCCACCTTTGCTTACATTGGCCCACCTGCCTACACTACTCTTTTAAATCCTCTCTGACTGTGATGAAAACCCTGGTCAGTAGGCCCTGTGTGACCTGCCTACCTGCCAGCATTACAAATGTGCCAGATGGTAACATTTGAGCAGGTGAAAACCAGTGCTAAGCTGCTGCTACTTTTTTTTTTTTTTTTTTTTTGAGACAGAGTTTTACTCTGTCACCCAGGCTGGAGTGCAACGGCATGTCTTGGCTCACTGCAACCTCTGCCTACCGGGTTGAAGCAATTCTCCCTGTCTCAGCCTTTCGAGTAGCTGGGATTACAGGTGCACGCCACCACGCCCAGCTGATTTTTGTATTTTTAGTAGAGAAAGCGTTTCACCATGTCGGCCAGGCTGGTCTCGAACTCCTGACCTCAGGTGATCTGCCCACCTTGTCTTCCCAAAGTGCTGGGATTACAGGCATGAGCCACTGTGCCAGGCCAGCATCTTAATGAAATATTTTCCTATCAATAAAGTGGGTAATCTGGTTATAATGTTTTTCACAGGAATTAATCTATTTTCATTTTGAATAAAAATAAAAAGTTGTCACTCATTTCTATTTTTCCTGAGCTGGGCTTTATCACTCAGAGCTAGAAGACACTGCTCCCATGTTACCCCTTCCAGGACACTTTCCATGAGCCTTTTCCTCTAATAACACCTTGTGGGTTTCTCTAGTATTGTCCTGCCTACATTTTATTTTCATCTTTTTGTTTATTTGTTTTGAGATGGAGTCTTGCTCTTGTCGCCCAGGCCAGAGTGCAATGGCGCAATCTTAGCTCATTGCAACCTCCGCCTCCCAGGTTCAAGTGATTCTCCCACCTTAGCCTCCTGAGTAGCTGGGATTACAGGTGTCCACCACCATGCCCAGCTAATTTTTGTATTTTTAGTAGAGATGAGGGTTCGCCATGTCAGCCAGGCTGGTCTTGAACTCCTGACCTCAGGTGATCCACCCACCTTGGCCTTCCAAAGTGCTGGGTTTACAGGCGTGAGCCACCTCACCTATTTTTTTTTCTTTTTTTGACACAAGTTCATCCAGGCTGCAGTATGGTGGGGCAATCACAGCTCACTGCAACATCAACCTCCTGTACTTAAGTAATTCTCCCATCTCAGCCTCCCAAGTAGCTGGAATACATACATGTGCCACTGCACATGGCTAATTATTTTTTGTAGAGATGGGGCCTCACTGTATCACCCAGGCTTGGTTTGAATTCCTAGACTCTAGCCATCCTCCCGCTTCTGCCTCCCAAGGTGCTGGGATTTACAGGCATGAGCTAGATTTAGATTTAGATTTCCAGGTCTGGACCCTTCTTTGTGCTATTCCTTCTTTCTGGGATACTCTTTGCAACCTTTCTAGCTGGGCCAGCTGCTTCTTGTCCCTAGGTGGCCAATTGAGATTGACTGGCCATTTCTTTTCATTCTTTTTCTTCTATGGCCAATCTCTGGCTGCACACGACAGCCAGCAAGTCCTAAATCCTATTCAGGCCACGGTACCCTACTCCCCTGGTGGAAGTCTTTCCATGTTTTCTGGTGTCCTGAGGACAAAGTCCAAATTCCTCTACTGGGCTGCCAAGGTCATTGGACAGGCAGGAGTCAGGGAGGAGAGATTTGGTGGGTGCCGTGGTGAAGGGCTCCCGTCGGGGGTTGTCACCTTCACACAAAGGGAGGAGGCTAAGTATTCTGTAGAGAGTGGTGTTGCGGGTGGGAGGTGAGCACAGAGGGAGGGGATGTGGTGGAGTGGGGTGGGGTGGGGCGGGGTGGGGTAGGGGTTGAAGAGGGTGGAGAGAACTTCAGAGTCACTATGGGAGCAGTAGCTGACCAGGAAAACGCAGCATCACTGACGAGCTGCAGTGCAGATTCAGCGGAGAACTTTTTTTTTTTGTATTTTTAGCAGAGACAGGGTTTTTGCCATGTTGCCCAGGCTGGTCTTGAGCTCCTGGGCTTAAGTGATCCACACTCCTCGGCTTCCTGAAGCGTGGGGATTACGGGCGTGAGCCACCATGCCTGGTCTCAGCTGAGAACTTGATAGGGGAGTTCCCAAGTGACGGTAGGCTGTCTGGGTGTGCAGATTTCTCTAATGGTCACTCACAGTGGGGCAGGCGCATCCAAGACAGATAGGTGGATTTGTCCATGGAGGGGGTTTGGCTGGGAGGGTGGGACCCAAGGGCAGGGGGCTAAGGACTCTGAGGAGTCTGTCAAAGAGCAGATGAAATGATGGGCCACAGAACCTTAACCAGATGGTCAGGGAAGTGGACAGGAGAGGGCAGTGAAGTCAGGAGGCAGCAGCTTTACAAAGAGAGAACAGAGATGCCAGCGGGCTTCTGGTTGCAGTGGAGGCAGCGAAAGTATTATGTATGTATTCCCAGCTACTTGGGAGGCACACACACTGCCATCAGGCCATGCCAGAGTCCTTCATCCACCCAATAAAGAACCTACTCTGTGTCAGGCCCATGCTGGGAGTGAGGGATACACAGATGGGCACAGTGCCAACCTGGTTAGGACGAGCTCACCTGATCAAGGAGAAAGGCACAAAAGAATTGCAGACCAGTCTACAATGGAGGCTGTGGGCATAGAAAGAGGGCAACTCACTGGTCTAAGGGCCAAGGAAAACCCCCCTGGAGAACTGGTTCTTGAAGGACAAGAAGGCAAAGAGAATGGAACATGTAAAGGCTGGCAGAAGGGAGAGGGCCTGGGGAGTTGGTGGAAATAATTCAGCGGGGCTGCTCATGGGGTTTTCTGAGTGAGATCAAACCAGGTTAGGGAGCCTGGAAGGGGTAGGCAGCCATAGACTGGCTCTCAGGCAGGTTTTCGCTTTAGCTTTAGGACAATCACTCTGGCTCAAGGATGTGCATGTGCATGTGCGTGTGCATGGCCACAGGAAGGGGAATGAAGAGAAAAGAGCAGAAGCAGGGAGCTAGAGGGAGCCTGCCGTGCCACTCGGGTAGGGATGAAGAGGGTCCCTTCTGGGCAGTGAGCGTGAAGATATGGATTGCCAGACAAATCTGTGTGACAGAAACCGGAGGAGTTGGTGATTTGTCACTGGACTTGACTGAGGAGACAGTGCAGGTGCCATCTAGCACTGCCCAGAGTCTCTAACCTAGATGCCCCCTGAGCGTGGCACCTCCGGGTGAGACGGAGGAGCTGTTCAAGATGAGAGGAGAAGGGTCAGTTTTGAATATGGTATGAGGCGCCCCTGGAACACCCAGGGGAGCCGTTTCTGTTGTACAAGGCATTCTAGGACATGCCTTGTCTTTCTCTCCTGGGTCTGTGCACGCTGTTCCCTCGCTCCGTTGGCAGCAGGCTTCCCCTCATCTGCCAGCCGGGTGTTTTCTCCAGGAGACATCCCTGACCTTGCCTGCGTAAACCAACTTTTTGTGGTCAGAGCCTTTGCAGCTCTGCTGTAATGTCTCTTTGGAGATAGGTCTCATTTCCCTGCCTCTCTGGGCATCATCCACCGGCTTCATGCAGTCTGCACCTCGAGAAGCAGGAAGTGATGAAACATTTGAGTGCGCTTCCTGAGGATCTCCATCACCCAGGAAATGTCACTGCACGCTATAGGAGGGAAGATCCTCCCAGGCTGGACTCCAAGCAGGAAGTGACTCTCACCACCCCAGGGGGTTTGAAACACCTCTCCCTGGCTGGGCCTGGTGGCTCACGCCTGTAATCCCAGCACTTTGGGAGGCTTAGGTGGGAGGATCATGAGGTCAGGAGTTTGAGACCAGCCTGGCCAATGTGGTTAAACCCCGTCTTTACTAAAAATACAACAACAATTAGCTGGGCGCAGTAGCAGGTGCCTGTAATCCCAGCTACTTGGGAGGCTGAGGCAGGAGAATCACTTTAACCCGGGAGGTGGAGGTTGCAGTGGGCTGAGACCACGCCACTGTACTCTAGCCTGGACAACAAAGTGAGACTCCATCGCAAAAAATCAAAACAAAACGAAACAAAAACACCTCTCCCATGCCCAGGAACCCAGAGCAGGCCAGTGGGTCAGCCACTGCCCAGACTCGGGATGTTCTGGTTTCAGAGGTGGGGCAGGCAGCTGCAGCCTCCCAGCCGCCCTCAGGGAATCCACGGAAGAGGCACAGCCAAAGGGAGGTGCAGACACCAGAGAAACCGGCTGATAACACCCAACACGTAAGGCCTCATCTTGAAACAGCATGTGAGCAAATGCGAAGGACTCAGGTCCCTCACCCCTCCCTGGGCCTGGAAACCCACCACCTTCCCAAAGCTGGCATCCATCCACTCAATCCTCTCCCTACCTAAGAGGAGAAACCACAGGCCTGGCTGAGGAGACCTTCAAGGCATGAGGCTGAGATAGGAGTGAGGAGCTCCCTTTGGACGGGGCGGGGCATGGGGTAGGGGAGGAAGGGCCTCTGAGGTGAGATCATGAGGTGGAGACAGTGACAACGGCAGCGGCCATTTTATTGCATCTCTGCCACAAGCCCCGCCTTCGATACACAATGACACTTCCACCTCACAATCAATGACCACAACCACGACAGCCACGAACCTCCAGGAACAGAGGCTGGGGAGGTGAAATCACTCGCCCAACTCCCCCACCTGCTAGCACAGTGGAGGAGTCCCTCCAGGTCTGTCTTACTCCACAGCCCATATTCTTTCTGCCTGGCCAGCAGTTAGAAAGACCGCACCACGGGTGCGGTCTTGGGTGGGCACCGGTCACCCCCATGGAAATCCCTGATGGATGTTAAAGGACAGGATTGGATTTGAGGGGTTTTAAAAATGGGGCTCAGGCATCGTCAGCATGAGGTGTTTCTGGGCCTGCTGACCTGAGACACAGACAGGCAGTTCCACGGACACAAACACCCAGGTCCCAGAAGGCACGCACTGACCTTCCCATGATATGGATGTGTGGGAACACGTGTGCTCTTAAGCACACGCCACACACCCACAGAAGGGCTGACCCCGCTGGGGGCATACACGCACTCGCACATACTCAGTGTCCACAGGCATCCACGCCCTGGCTCGGCTCTGGGGACGCTGAGGCAGGTATGGGAAGAAGGGCTCTGGCTCCGTCAGATGAGGCTGGCGATGCTGGATGTGGTCTCGTGACGCCGGCCAGCAGACAACAGTCCTGAGATGCTGAAGATGCTGCCATGGCCACTGTGGGTGGAGGGGGTGGCCATACAGATGGAGGGGCAGTGTCCGCTCACGCCCACTTGATACAGTAGCAGGCCTAGCAGCAAAAGCGAGCCCAAGGCAGCCAGAGCAATGCCCACAGACAGCATGGCGGCCAGCGGCCGAGCAGGGGCAGGGGCAGCGGCCAGCCCGGCCAGCGTCAGGCCGGTGACCAGCAGCACGAGGCCACTGAGCAGCACCACAAGGGCATCGGCCCCTCCTCCACTGCGCAGCAGGGCCACATGGTGAGCCTGGCGGATGCAGTTCATGTCCTGCACGGCCGAGCTCATCAGCTGTTTCACCAGCACCAGCAGAGCCAGCAGACAAAGCACAGTGCCTGTTGCTAGCCGCCATTCGCCTGAGCGGCTGCTGGTGGTTGACAGCAGTGCCACGCCGCCCGCCCCACAGCCTGCCACGAGGCCCACGGCCACGACAAAGCAGAGCGCTGAGCGCCTCGGCTGCTGGGACCACCACAGCTCCACCTGCTCTGCCAGCATGTCCGGGGGCAGCCCCTGGCCCCCTGGGGCTTGAGCCTCCTGTTCAGACATGGCTTGGTCAGGCAGGGGTCAGGGCAGGAGGTGAGTGTCAGGGGTCAGAGGGTGCAGATCACAGCCTGAAGCCCCTGCCACCTGCTTGGCAGTTACAGGCCCGGAGTCCCATTCCTCTCACAGTCCAGGATATGGTCATCATCACCTGTAGGGGAACGATTACAGTCTTACCTTCCCAGCCCACCTGTCCCCCATGGTCGCACCTGGGAGCCTTGGGATGGTCCCTGAGAATCCACCCTGGTGTCACCCCGAATCTCCCCTGGGAAAGCCCCTTCTGCAGCACTGTCCCTTGGGAATGCCTCTCAATGACCCCAGGAGAGTGCCCTGCCCATAGAGTACCCCTCCCCACCCCTGCAAACCCTCCAGGGAATCCCCTCACCCAGGCCCTGAGCTCTCTGCCTCTGGCTCTCTCAGTCGCTTGTCCCATCGCGGCTGGCTGAGGGAGCTGGTGCCACGGTGGATGATGGGATGATCAGCCAGAGATAAAGCCTCATTCAGGATCTGACTCACATGGCCTCAGCTGTCACCACTGGTTCCTGGGGGGGAGCTGTGGGGATGGAGGGGGTGCTTATGACTTAACCCTTCTGGAACCAGAAGCCTGGCTGACCTCGACTCTTCTCTTTTAGGGCTGTGTCTCCTCCTCCTCTGTTGGTTAGGGCCAGACCCCTAACACCCTCCCTCCCCTAACATCACATCCAATCTCACAGCCACAAGTTTGGTGATATAAGCTGCCAGTTCCCAAATTCCTCTCTCCAGCCTAGACCTCCCTCCTGAGTCAACTGTCACCTCGATGTCCCTGTGATGCAACAGGTCCCAACCCAAGCTTGTTATCTTACCCCAACCTGCTCCTCCTGCTTCCTCACTTCAGGCATGGCATCACCACCCTCTCAGCAAGCTCCTCCTCCCTCTGCTGTATCTAATCCCTGTCCTGTCCCCGGGCTCCACCTCTAAACATTTCTCCAGCCAGTTCCCTGGGGTCTCCATGGCCTGCCTCCACCTCCTCACTGGTCTTCCTGCTCCCCTCGCTCTTCTCCACACTCGCCATTCCCCCATGCCATCCTCCTCCATGATTCCTCTAAAGTGGAGCAAAGGAAGAAGGAGGGCTCTGGATTTGAACCCCAGCTCCAGTCCTTCCCACTGGCAGGAGCCTGGCCAGGCACCTAACAGTGGTGGCTCATTTAACCTGCCCTCCAGAGGACAGCATGTCTCACACTGGGCAGAAATAAAGTACATGTGGTCCCTGCCCTCAGGGAGCCCCAGTCTGCAGCAGGAGACAGAGACACAAGCAAACAGGCCCAGTCCCTGTGCTAAGTGTGGGTGTGGACCCTACAGAGCCCAGGAGAGGGGCCTGGGGGACAGGCCAGGAAGCCTGAGGGTTTCATCTCTTAGAGTCTCAGTCTCCTTATCTGAAAAGTGAGAACAATAACATTTATCTTGAGGGGTGGGGATGAGTCACCTCACATCTTTGTTTCAGAATTCCAATGGGGCCTAGAGCCTGCATAGATGCTCAAAGCGTGCTTTCTGAATACATGAAAACGATTTACCCCCTCCAAGGCAGGACAGTGCAGAAGACGGAGGTCCTGGGTCATTCTGGGAATATGATTATGTGGCCGTGCACAGGTTACATCCTGTCGAGGTATCTGTCCTCCCCGAGACTCCTCTACAGAGGCTGATCCCTACCCTCCAGGTGAGCGGGGGCTGGTGCCGATGTCCCCAAGGAAGTCGGGGAGGTGGGCGTGGCCAGGGAGTCAGTCCCAGCATTCCCCTGGGCTGTGGCTTCGCTGGTCTGAAAGTGCTTGCACAGGTGTGCTGAGCCAGTGGGGGCCAGGCTGGGGGTGGGGGTGGAGGTTCTCAGAGGAAAAGCTAGTGGGAGAAGGTGGGGGCGGTGAGGCGTGGGGGGACTATTGGGGAACTCACGAGAAGCCTGGACGTGCTGAATCCGATCCGAGAAGGCAGGGCCAAGCAGGTGGGGCACTCCAGCTCTGTTTCCGGGGAGACACTTCACCTGCCTAACCTGCACTCAGGTGAGGGTGGGTGGAGGAGGATGAACAGGTGTCGTTTCCAGGGCAGGGCCTGAGCCGATTGGCTGACGTGGCACTGCTCCTTCTGCTTGGCAGAGGCATTCCTGGGAAGGGAGGGGCTTCTGTCTGCTGCTGTTAGGGCTCGGAACACAATTCGCAGACCTGGACAGCAGGAGTAATGTCGTCTATCTGCCCCAGAGCCTGGGCGCCAACCCGCCCCCAGCTCTGACTCTAATTTAGATTTAGCTCCAGTTTCAAAACCAGCTCCCTACTCCAGCTGCAGTTGTAAACCCTAGCTAGAACTTCCAGCTTCCACCCCGGCCCCAGCTCCTGCCGCATGTCTCAGCCCCAACCCCCAGCCCCGTTTCCAAACCCAATTCCAGTTCCAGCTGCAAATCGAACCCCAAATCTGGCTAGAAACCTCAGCCCCCAACTCCTAACTCCAACCCAAATCCTGACTAAGATCCTGGGTCCCAACCTCACATTCAGCCCGAACCTCAACTCCTGTTCCTGAATCCAGCCCCCAAAATCAACACCAACCTCAAACTCAGCTTTAGCCGCAAATTCCAACACCACCGGACCCCCAAACGCAGCTCCAGTACCTCCATTCTTTGGCCCTGGGCTGGAGCCTCCACAAGCCCCATGCTCATTCTCTCTCAAAGCCTCAAATGCCTGGCTTACCCCACAGATTGGATCCTGCTGGGGAAGCAGGATTTGAGTGAACAGGGAGTGGAGTGGGGGCGGTGAGGGGATGAAGGTCTTTCGGGTGGGAGACAGGAGCTCCTAGAATAAATACTTCAGAATCAATGTCACACTCCTTCACAAGGCTCAGAAAGCCCCTGCCATATGCACCAGGCCAGTCATTTGCCACTGGCACCCTGCTCTCCTCTCTGCTCTTCCAGTTTTTGAACTCAAGAGTTGTCCCTTGCCTGGGATATTTGCCACTCCCAGCCTCAGTCTGCCAGACTTGCATTCTTCAATGGAGATGCCACCTCCTCCAGGAAGCCCTCCCTGACTTGCAGGCTGGTTTAGGTGCCTCTTTGGTGTACCCATGGCCTCTGTGCTTCCCCAACAACTACTCTTACTGCAACGTGCTTAAGTGCCTTTTGTGTACTTACCTGTCATCCCCTGCTAGATGTGTGGTCTTCAGCAAGTACAGGGACAGTGCCTCTTTTGCTAATCATCATGACCTCAGTAGCTAATATGTAGGAAGTAATCAATACATATTTGTTGAATGATTGATTAGCGGATGAAACGAAAGCGTGAATGGACAGCTGTGGGGGTTCTGAGCAGGAAGCTGGAAAGACAAGTTTGGCTCAGGCTGTTCACGGCCTTGAAGGCCAGAGTGAGGCACTTGGACTGTGTAAGGTGCCCATGGAGAGTTCTGAAGTTTAACAGGGACATCGTTGGAGCTTGTAATAGGCAAATCTGGCACCACAGACACACTACCCTCCGGACTGGCGAAGGGCAGGCTGGCTGGAGCGGGTATAAGCTGCCCATCTCCTGGACCAGCCCCTGGGATGTCTCTTGCTCTCTCCTCCTGATGTGTGAACTAGAAAAGAAAAACAAGATCACACTTATCTTGCCATTATCAGTTCACAAAATAATTGTGCTTGACCTGCTTTCGCATCTTTTCGCTTTGTTCCATGGGGATGACTGGGGGCCAGTCACAATTCTAGAACAGCTCTGTCCACTAGCATGAGCCCCATATATAATTTAAACTTGTCGAAAAGTCACATTCAAAAATGAAAAAGAAACCCACAAGATTAGTACAGTTAAATTAATATATTTTATTTAATTCCAAAATACATTATACGTTGTTGAGCTATTTTACAGTTTATTTTGCACAGGGTATTTTATTTTTATTTTTAAAAATAGAGATGAGGGCCTTGCTCTATTGTCCAGGCTGTTCCCAAACTCCTGGATTCAACCGATTCTCCTGCCTTGGCTCCCCAAAGTGCAGAGATTACAGGCGTGAACCAAAAGTCTTGAAAATTTGGTGGCTAGTATTTTACACTTACAGTGCCTCTCATTTGTCCCAGCCACATTGCAAATGCCCAGGCACCACATCTGTCATGTGGCTGTGTCCTTACTGGATGGCACAGCTTTAGATGTCCTTCCCCTCCAAAAAGGTGAGGGCAGGCTGGATCGGAGGGTGGTAGGGAGGAGCAGGGTGGGGAGACAATGGGGTGGCATTGCAGGTGTTCATCCTGCCACTTTGCAGAGCATTATTATAAAGGTAGCCCCTTTATAATAAAGGGGCTTGACTCACAGGAGCAAGGGAGCCAGGGGCCCCACAGGGCTTGCTGGCTGCAGATTCCGCCTGCACACATCTGACCTTTACTTACCCACCCTGGTCCCCAGGAGGGTCCAGTCCCAGCCAGACCCATAGGCCAGCTGTCTCAGGCAGAGCTGCAGCAGGCGACCCATGACATTTTCCTCCCTTTTCCCCTTTCCTTGGGGATTTGAAGGGAATTTTTTGGATGGGAGAAAAAAAAACTAAAAGCTTCATCGGTATAAACACTGGGCAAGTTTCTGTTCTAGTTCTGGGTCTTATGAGGTAACGTGGAATCATGTGGAAAGGCAGGCTCCTCACAGGGCTGTTGAACTCTGTCCTCCAAGCAGAGGTTGTTGGGTTAGTAATTCACATGGACAAGTGAAGGTCAGGACTAGGAGGTTGCTGCGTGCCTGGAGTGGAATGTGTGGATGAACCACCCGCAGATCCACGAGAAGGTGGGGAATGGGAGTACTGTGGGAGAACGCAGAGGCAGTGGGGCTGTCTCCAGGCTTCTGCGCCGTGTTGCCAACACAGGCTGTTCTCAACCCAGTGGCTGTGATCCAGTCGGGAGGTGGAGAGCTCCTCCAGCTGCCCACCTTCCTCAGGGGAACAGAGCCCGCCCGTTGCCTTAAGGCCCTCTCTGGCTTAATTCCTGTTACCTCAGAGCCTCCTTACCCGCAGCTTCATCTGCCTGGAATGCTATGACCCACACAGCTCCCTCCCTCCCACCCTCCCTCCTTCAGGAATGTTCTCAAATGGCTTCTTCTCAGGGAGACCTCTTGGCCACCTTGTCTCAAATTGCAACCTCCCCAGTACTTCCTGTCCTCTGCCCTTATTTCTTTTATTTCCTTACGTTTCTCCTTAGCACTATCACTTTCTGACATGCTATGGATCTTTCTTATCAATCTGGAATTTTATCTCCTAGATTGTAAGCTTCATGAAGGAAAGGGATTGTGTCTGTTCACTGTCCTATCCCTACCTCCTGGAATAGGACTGGCATAGAGTAGGTGTTCAATAAACATTTGTTGAATGAATGAGTGAATGAATGAATAGTAGAAAGAACACTGGATTTGGAGCTAGATTGATCTGGAAGGTTCAAGCCCCAGCTCTAGCTGTGAAATGGGAGAAAAACTGCTTAATCTCCGTGTGTCTCAGTCTCTTTCATTTGTAAGATGGGAATGACAGGACTTAGTTTATATAGTTGTAGAGGGATTAATTAGGCTGGGCCTGGTGGCTCTCAACTGTAATCCCAGCACTTTGGGAAGCTGAGGTGGGTGGATCACTTGAGGTCAGGAGTTCAAGACCAGTCTGGCCAACATGGTGAAACCCCATCTGTACTAAAAATACAAAACATTTGTCAGGTGCAGTGGCTCACGCCTGTAATCCCAGCTACTCAGGAGGCTAGGGCAGGATAATCGCTTGAACCCAGGAGGTGGAGTTTGCAGTGAGCCGAGATTGTGCCACTGCACTCCAGCCTGGGCAACAGAGCAAGACTCTGTCTTAAGAAACAACAACAAAAAAGAGATAATTCATTCAGCATCCACTGATCTTATCCCTCCTGTGGACCAGGTGTTGTGCAGGTGCTGGAGATACAGTGGTGAGTGGAGAGGCGCTGTTCCTGCTGTCCTGAGGGCAGTCTCAGGGGACAATGGACATAAGGCACAGCGCACCTACAGGCTTCCAATGCCTCCAGGCACCCACCCCCTTCTCAGTGAGTGATAGTTCCCCGAGATAGACATCTTTCCAAGTATTGGTCCCATTCACCATGACCATCCTCCTGCAAGGAAGAATCCCAGCAAGGAGGTCATGTTTTGTGACCCACCACTGTGGCTATAGTTGATTAGATAGAGCCTCAGACTCAAGCTGGGCTGAAAAAATTGTTTTTTGGCAATTTTGGCAATGTAAAATTGGACTATTTCATTTTGGCTTAGGGGCTTCTACTAATGAGAGGTGCCAAGGTGCCCTCTGCCAGCGGAACTGGCAAGGGGGAGCTGGGCTGCCGAAAGGGGCAAGAATGAGAGAGAGAGGGACTCCAGGAGTGAACCAGGCCTTGATTCAAGTTCTCCTTGAGACCTGGTTGCATTTCTGTCTGGAGATTCCATGAGACACGCCTAGAGCCAGATAACAAATTCTCCTTTTTTGGCCGGGCACTGTGGTGTAAGCCTGTAACCTCAGCACTTTGCAAGGCTGAGGCAGGAGGATCATGTGAGGTCAGGAGTTTGAGACCAGCCTAGCCAACATGACAAAACTCTGCCCCTACTAAAAGTAGAAAAATTATCTGGGTGGTTACTCGGGAGGCTGAGGCAGGAGAATTGCTTGAACCCAGGAAGCCAGGGTTGCAGTGAGCCAGGATCACATGACTGCACTCCAGCCTAGGCAACAGAGGGAGACTCTGCCTCAAAAAAAAAAAAAAAAAAAAAATTCTCGCCAGGTGCAGTGGCTCATGCCTGTAATCCTAGCACTTTGGGAGGCCAAGGCGGGCCGATCATGATGTCAGGAGTTTGAGACTAGCCTGACCAACATGGTAAAACCCTGTCTACTAAAAATACAAAAATTAGTTGGGCATGGTGGCATATGCCTGTAATCCAAGCTAATTGGGAGGCTGAGGCAGGAGAATTGTTTGAACTTGGGGAGGCGGAGGTTGTAGTGAGCTGAGATTATGCCACTGCACTCTAGCCTGGGTGACAGAGCAGACGCCATCTCAAAAAACAAAACAAAAATTATC